GCATTCCTTAGCACAGTATCCACCACAAGCCCCGCAATGCTGAATTCCCGCATCACGAGTAAGGGGCATCTAATACAAAATAACAACATAATAGCAACAATGAAAAGATACCACTATCAATGTTTGTTTTCAAATCCCGAGCAGAAAACGAGTATTATAGTTACTTACACCTCCCTTCGCTCGGCATAACAGAGGTAGCAGCAATATCACGCACAGGCACAGCTTGGAGGACATTTTAGGTTTATGTTGTCGTTTTTACAGCAACAGTACACGTCACCAGTTTTCTGAGGTTGCTATTAAACACACGTTTCTATTCAAGCAATATATACAAGTAGAAATCCATCCGTGTCAAATATGTTTTCAGTCAAATTGTAATGGTGTTATGGCATGTTCCTGAACAATATGGATCTAATATTAAATTACAATTGGTTTTATGTGCACAATCTCGCATCATGTTTTAGTGTGAACTAAATATAACCCACCCAAACAAGATGGCGTTGTCTTTTTTTAGATAATGTACGTTTACAATACGTGTTATTACATTTTAACGCCGCAGATTTGTACAGTGTGTGACCTTTACGACGTGAGCGGGTCTGGTCTCACTTTGCCATGCACAGTTTGCCGATGCTCATTGATAACAACGCCGATTCCAAACACGCGATATGAGGTATTGAAATATATGCCCTTTCTGCCGTCATTTGTATTCAAGCAACGTACATGCAGAGTGAACGGCTGACAAATAAATACCATAACCCGAATATTACTCGCAATGAGGCGATAGCGTTTATAGGTCATATTCACACACATTTTCATATATTTTGTTGACATCCCTGGGTATGCAGATTCTCTCATAGACACGTAAACATTCCAGTTTTTGTGTCTCCACTCACTGTGTATTTATCACTTACCACCACAGCGTGGATGTGCTCACAACTCGGAAAATATTACGCAGGTTTCAACCGCAAGTGTGTTCAGACAACCAAAACATTACCGCGGCCATATTTGTCACGTAGATCTATGACGTCATTGGTTTTCATAACAGGTGACGTGTGTTCCGTACAACGAATGTATGTTGTTACAATCAAGCACGTGTTCTAAGTCACTTCTAATACCGACATTCCTTGAATAATTAAATATCGGAAGATCAATTCCTAACTCGAGTGTACACGTGACCTTGATAACCAATACCCGTTCATTATGTTACAGTGGCGGCGGCACTGGTTGGGCAGAGGAAAAAAAATGAGGGGGCGTTGACCTCCAAGAATCAAGCTTTGTGTCAGCAAAATCCCCCCCCCCCAAAAAAATACAGGAAATAGCGTTTCAGAGGGTCTAGATTTATTAATTTTTAAGGGGGAGCATGCTTCGGACGCGAGGTTGTAGAGCAGATCTCGCCCCCTCATGCAGCATTTCGTGCCGTCGCCTCTATGTTAAAAATATTCAGACAATCTCTTACTTATATCTACAAAACGGCGCAGTGTCGCTAGATTGGAGTTGCCTCCACAGGTCGTCGAGTACGTACACATCATTCTGGCACGGGGCGTATTCAAGCCGAAACTCTACTCTGTACGCTGTAGGTGATTTATCAGCAGGAAAACCAAAGATAATGTTGAAATAAAATTTGATTTCTTGAAGGAAAGTTTTGAATGCTAATTTGATTGTTCACAGTGAACATTGCATTGTTCGCTTGATATGACTGCAGTTTCATAAATTTCAAAAAAATTATGACATTGGATATTGTACTATTTGTTATTTCAAACATAACACGACATAGTTGTGAATCATTTCAATGTTATCATAACCCCAACTACAACGTGACCCACACAACCACCACCATCTTATGTTGAGAAGAGACTATTGTGAACTGAGGTATCAGCTCACGTGTAAACAAATCCAATTTCAAAATCTTTTTAGCGATAAACTCAACAACAAATCCAAAAAATACATTTCATAGTTTGTAAGGCCAACTAACTGAAACACACAGTATGCATCCTCGAATGTCATTACCTATTATATGTTGGTATATTCGTGTGACAAGCCAATGTGATTGTGTGTATAAAGCGACAATATAAACACATTCAGCCATTCAAGCTGTCACCCTTATTTCTGAAGCTACAATTACCGCCGTAAGAGGGCGCTCTTTATTTTCTCGCGATAATGATGTAATAGTACACGAAGGTAATATGTGGTGGTCGTTGCTCCACGTTTTATTTAAGATGGTTCACATAGAACATATACAACGCGTGGAAAATACATGACGACCACAGCTATTTAATAGCACAGGATCCACACCATTCAAAATGAGTTATTAATTATATCTCCGAATAACCCATAATCTATCTGATAATGTTATCGTCGTAATCATGTTAATTAATATCAAATACAAAACGTTATAACAAACACCGTCATGCAATACAACTTTAAAATCCACGTTACACAAGCTACAATAGCTCATAATAACCCTACATGAAGCTATTGCGACGAAAACCGATTTAGAATGGGTGTTTGGAAATCAATGTGTTATTTTGGATGCTGGTGTAGTTCCTGTTTTGTCCTTGGATATACTATTACATTGTAACATGACGCACTTCACAGAAGTGAATGGATCGCGGTTCAATAAATATAGCCTTATAAGTGACTCTAGATGGCGCCATGTCAATGAATGTCCGCACACACCGTGAGAGCAAATACTGTACGTCACACTAATTTAATGTATAACGCTCTGAATAAATAATATCTTGCCAAATATCCCAATTGTGTATTTATCAATTAAACAGCCGCACAATGTCATATAAACAACCATATATATGTAGAACTTTAAGATCAGATATCAGTAGGGGGCTCTTAGAAGTGAAACAAAATAAAGATCGGGTATGACGTGAAACAAAGAGACGAAATAGATTAGTGTTTGCTGGCATTTTACGTTCAACCCCATGTATGGAGATTTTACAAGATTATTATAATAAAATCCATGTATAAAAATTCTGCGACAGTTTCGAGCAAACCTATTTTATGATGTTA